AAAAAAAAAAAAAAAAAAAAAAAAAGATGTATGGATGACGTGCTTAAGATTTCCAGCCTCATATCATGTTTGTTTGAAATTTTAAAAGAAGGAAAAAGAGAACTTCGAGAAGGTTGGAAATCACCATTCTCCAGTTTTTAGTTTCTTTTTTTCATTGAAATTATAAAAAGGAATCAACTGAAAGCTATAATTCGGTATTTTCAGCCCTATATAACCTCTGCACCACTTGTCAATCATATTGTCATCTTTTTATTTGAGATTTACTCATACATATCTCCCCGTAATAGTGCCCAGTTTTTGTACTTAAATTAGGAATGTGCACCGAAACTAAAGAGATTAATTAAGAGCAACGCAAAATTTTACAACCATCATCTACCCCTTTTCACAAGCTGCACAACGTTTTAGAGAAAAGTCAAAGTTGGCATGACAGTTACGACCATGATTAATGCATAAATGTGCTCCACAACTAGGAAATACTTTATAATGAACAGCATGTCGTGATATTGATATATAATTCTTTTACCTCGCCACCAACGGCAAGTAAATTTCCCTCACTGTTGAAGGTCATAGCTAATTGTTGCCCAACATCTTCCAATTGAACAAGAGTTTTCTCTGATGACTTCAGATTCAAAGTATGATCATCCTTGCTAGTGGTCGAATCCCACTCAAACCATCTACACGGTAACAAAAGATTATAATTCAATGTCAGAGATTTGGTATTATCTCGAGTTCACAATAGAGGATCAAGTAAGCAACAAAGTGAACTGAGGGCATAAAACTACGGAAAGCACTTAAATTAAAAATCCGTGCTACTTATACTTTTGACTGAATTCTTGGCTTGTGAAACGTTCCACAATAGAATTGAACTAAAACTAAAAGATTACAGAACGGGGAGAAAATTTATCAACTATCACAAGAAAGCATACACTCTGTAAAGTATCTTTCACCAGCAGGAAGGAAACATAATAAGAAAGCAAAATCCAGATAGAACTTCAAAATTTCCAATTTCCAATTTGAAGTAGATTATTTCCAGATGGTCATGATAGATGCCTAAGCTGAGATTTTAATTTCACACCAAGTGGCGAATCAGAGGAGTCCTAAGCTGAGATGCATATCAATAAACATCAGTTAACATATCGGGGCTGAACTTACTTGCAACTTTTGGGAAATGAACAGATTAAACCTTCTCCCCCAGGATGCACTGCAATTCTGTATGGCAAATCACTACCTGTTCCAAGTTTTGCCACCTATATAATGGAAAATACCAAGTAATTGAGACCTCAAATGATAACCAAGAAAGGAAATAACAGTGAAATTTATTCGAGCAAATAGAAAAGGCTAGCATTTAGGTTTTGACATACTTCATGTCATTGTAAGCTTCAGAGACGACTTCATTAGCAATCGTCCAAATCCCAAAAAATAAACAACGATGTGGAAGTCCATTGCAAGATGGATTGTTTTTATGCAGTTTAAGCCACATTTCATTGTAGAGAAGGGAAGTACCAGCTTCTCAGACAGCATTGTCCACATCTTAAAGGTAATATTCAAATTTCATATTTTTCGAATTTTATTCTCTTCTGTCTAAATACCAAACACACTACAACATCACCTTTAATATAAGTAAAAACAACTTAGTTAATTACATCTCATGATTTTTTTTTTTTTTTCCAACTACTTCACCAAACTCGAATTAATATAAAGAAACATTTTTAGTACACTTTGTAAAATGACTTTCCAGCAAAAATCTCTTAATAACATCGGAATACTTCTCTTGTCGAGTGAACAAAATTTTTTCCTATATGAAGTTCGTTCTCAATGTTATCCAGACATGAAACTCTAACTTCCCTTCCTGTGAGATTTTTTTATTTTTTATTTTATCAAAATGATTACCACAATAATGTCGCCATATTCTCTTAACAATACAATGTACCAAACTTATCAAAGCATTCTCACTAAGCAGCAGTCCTAATCGTACTTGGATCAGAGAATAAAAATTGTAACCATACATTCTCCCCAATTGTCCAATGAATTTCGAAGACGGATAAAATAATTCATCAAAAATGGGATAAAGTATAGGCCGATAGAAGACTGATCCATCAATATACACAACTTTGTGTGTGTGTGTGTGTGTGTGGAATCAGTGATCGAAAAGCTTACGGGCTCATCTGAGAGAGACGCGGATTCGAAATCAAAGGCTGAGATGAGGAGAGCATTGGGAATTCCGCTGTGGCCTTCTCCGCCACCTCCAGCGAGAACGACGTGGTGGCTGATCGATGCCGGAGTTCCCGGCTCAGCTGCTTTATCTTCTTCGACGGAGGCGGCGGCGGGGGCGGTTGTTGGAAGCCACGCAGCGCCGTAGAGAGGGACGCCATATTTCTTGCAGCCTAATTCATCGTCGTTTTTGTCGCCCTTGCCCATCTTCTCTTTCTTCTCCCCCGTCCTGGGTTTCGGATTCTGATCTACCTGCACTGCACTGCAAATCAATGCTTATTTTGACCTTGAAAAAAAAAAGTAATTTATTGGTAATTCTTGCTTTTTATTTTAACACCTCAAATTTCATATTAATTAATTTGGAATAGTATTTTTTTTTTTTTTTTTTTGGAAAAGGATAGAGATTTTTATAAATAAAATGCACAAATGTGCAAAGATACAGTCTCTAACTGAATAATACAACTAACAACTAAAAAAAATAGGAGGACAGATCTGACAATCGCCTAGAACCGAACCTAGTAGTGCTAGAAACCACTCGTCAACACACACAACACAACAAACACTGCAAAGCTCCCCCACTCGAGCAGAAGAGAGGTCAAAAGCCCAAACAAAAAACCATTGTTTTAAATAGTTCGTTATTGTTCGCTATATAGTTTATTTTCAAAAAAACACGACGTGGCCTTATATATTTAACGTTTTTCCCGAAAAACTTGCGCGAAATGTCAAAATGGCACGCTTTCATGCGCTATTACACGCTATTGTACGCTAAATTGTGTTATATTTCTACAACGACGTTTGAATAATAAAATAATCAAAAACTCGTATTTTAGGGATCATGGTCATATTTACAAATGACAACTAAAAACTAAAAACTTTTATAATGATTTCAAATTAAAAGTTTGAAAATACAAAGTTCTAAGTTGAATAGTGCAATATTTATCGGTCCAATTTTGTTATATCATTTTATTTTTCGATATTTGACATTTAAATAAAGAATAAAATGTTCATATCTAATGGTCAGAACTAAGTTGTAGTTAAATAAAAAATAATAATTAAAATGCATATACTTTAAATTATACTATGGCTTATCTCATTATATTTTCGTTGATTGTTTTACTCTTTTAGTATTTTCCATTTATTATTTAATATTGATATTATAATGATATTTACATTAAATATTTGTGAGAAATAATCTTTAGATGTTATTTTTTAAGCCATTCAAGTACTATGTTAATTTTTTGTAATCAATCATCTAACTTTATTATATGCAAATATATTGTAATATATATGTAAATAAATTATACCTAAATAGCTTACGCAACACGCTACGCTATTTACGCTACTCAATATAAACCAAAACGCGACGCATTACGCTATACACGTTTTAAAACACTGCAAAAAACACAAGTCCTACCAACAACGCAACAAACAAACACAACTACAACTAAACAAAAACAGGGCCTTCCTAAGCAATTCAACTGAACGGAGCCCGCGGACAAAAGTCGACCCCTAGGTGAAATTCACAGCCCGAGGAGCCGTCCCCAAAATTGCTGAAAACTGCCTAACTGAAGCGGGAACCCAAGCCCCGAAAGCACCCAGAGAGCTGACCCGCCCCTCTGGAATGACAATTTGAAAAATCATATCTTAAATTGGTGGAACATGAAATTGAAACTTTTTATGACTTCTATAGGATTTTAAGATTCTAGTGTTTTTAGTTGAAACTTTTTTAGAAAAGTCTATATTTGTATGAGACTTTTAAATACTTTTTTATAAAAAAATTTAAGAAATTTAAAGGTTTTCGATTATAATTTTTTAAAGAGTCTCTACGATTTTTATTCAAAGTAGAAAAACTTTACGAAACTTTTTAAATTATACGAATTTTTGAGACTTTTTTTATGAATTTTTTAGAAGAAATCATGCGCAACATAGGTTTCAGATACAGTTGGATCAACAAAATCATGAGGTGTGTCCGGTTAGTTTCTTACTCTTTCAATGTTAATCAAAAGAGGTTCGGGTCTCTAATTCCTTATCGCGGTATTCGTCAAGGAGACCCGTTTGTCGTCGTACCTAATTGTTTTGGTATCTCATGGACTTTTGCGGGTCTCCGTACCTAATTGTTTTGGTATCTCATGGACTTTTGCACTTACTCCTAGAGGTTGAACAAAACAATTGTCTGGGATGTATTCGAATTGCAACTAACTGCCCGAGTATCTCACATCTCTTCTTTGCTGATGACAATTAAATTTCTTTAGAGATGAAATTAAAGACGCCATTGTTATCCATAAATGTTTGCACATGTACAAGAAAGCTTCTAGTCAAGTAATTAATTTTGAAAAAAAAAAATCATTTTTCTTTAGCCTGGATACATCTCCGAAAATGGTCGCATACGTAAAAAAATGTTTTAAAATTTTCAATTTCTCAAATTCTTGAGATATACCTGGGCCTATGGTTGTAAACGACTCGAATCAAAGAGAATATTAAGATATTCGAATTCGTTAAAATATTCGAGGATTCAAATTTGTATTCGATTCGTAAACGAACTCATTTTTTTATTTGTATTAGACATGTTCAAAATATTCGAATATATTCGGTTCATTTCGAAATTTATTTTTAGAAAAATATTATAATTAAAAAAATTATAATTACAAAAATATTTTTTTTATGTTTTTCCTATCCAATTTGATATGTTTTTAAGGCGAATTGTTAATTTTGGATATTTTTACTTTATATGTCATAGTAATATCAGGAATATAATACTATATAAATATATATTATAAAAAAAATTAACTTTATATAATTTATAAAATTTATATAGTTTTTGTTAACGAATCGAATATCATAATTTCGATTCAAATATCTACAAATTTGAATTTGGATTTGTTTATGTTTCGAATATAAAACATTATTCGTATTCGAATTCGAAAATCGAATAAAAAAATCGATATGTTTACAAGCCTACCTGGGCCTCCGCACTTTTTCAATCAGAAGCAAGCGCACTCAATTCGACTCTCTCAAAGAGAATTTTCTCATCACATACAAAGCTAAAGTCTTAAATTCTTTTATGAGGGTGGTTGAACGATACTCTTAAAATCAGTCCTTCAGTCCATCCCAACTTATGCAATGTCGTGTTTTCGTATCCTTAATTCACTATGTGAAGAAATCGAATGTGACTGTGCTAACTTCTGGTGGAGTACGAACAAAGGAAATAAGATGCATTGTTGTCGTTGGGAAACCCTATGTAAACACTCTGGAAACTTGGGAATTTGTAACTTGTCAGCTTTCAATAAAGCTTTATTAGCTAGCAGGTTTGGCGCATAATTAAAATTTCAGAAATTCTTGGCGGCAATAGTCCTTAAAGCTAGTTATTTCATACATTTGAATGTGACGTCAGCTCCTTTGAGTAAAAAACCTTCATATTTTTTATGATCTCTGACATGGAGCTGGGAGATAATTTCTAAAGGTTCTGCTTGGAAGATTGGAAATGAACGAAATGTTGATATATACCAGGATACTTGGCTTCCATCTCTACTTAGTCTAGTGAATAATTGGAGATTTTTGGACATCGAAAAGTTTCTCTCTCTCTAAAAACACGCCCAAATCAACCCTTCTTCTTCGTCTCGTCTGCATCTTTTTTCCAACACCTTCCCTAGCAGATCTGCACAGGGCTTCTCGGTGGGGCGTCCTCGGGCCTCGTGGCCCGCTCTTTGGTGAATCGCCGCTTCAGATGTGGCCCACTTCCCATCCTAGGTGTCGCCAATTTAAAGGTTGCTAGGACGATGGGGAGGGCAGCCGTGTTCTTGTCGGTGTATTCGCGGGTTGGGCGAGCCTCTGGCGTTTCTCTAGAGTGGGTCGCGACCTCGTCTCCCTTTCTGAGAGATCCGAGGTGGATGTTACTACTTCCAGCTGCTGAGTCCCCTCCGTCTCTGGTGTTGGACGGGGGTGATCGACGGCGAGATTCGGCTGAGGTCGGGATTCCATGGGTTGGGCTTAATCTTGTTGGTTTGTTGTGGGGCTGGTGGTGAGGGTCTTCGGGTTCGGGTCTCCCGTTGTGAGGGATCTGGGACGGAGGGCTCCGTTTCCAGCTTCCTTTTCACTCTCGTCTCTGGTGTTGGGCGGGGGTGATCACCGGCGACGTTAGGCAGAGGGCTGGGATTCAGGATCTAGGTCTTGTCTTGTTAATCTGTTGTGGGTGGCTGGTGGTGTGGAACTCCGGGTTTGGGTCTCGATTATCTATCTGGATGTGGGCTGGGTTCGGTGGTGTTTGGGCCAGTTAGGCGTTAGTTCGGCAGTTTCTAGCTCAGGCTCTTGGATCGTAGCCTTGTCCGCGTGGATGGATGTTCATTGGCGTGGCTGTCGGTTAGCTCGATGTGGTTGTCGGCTTGGGAAGGGTGGTGTTGTTGCGTCTTTTGTTTTTCGAGTTATGTTTTAGGTGTTTGTTTGTGTGTAGGCTGTGTTTTCGTTCTTTCTCTCCCGTTGGGAGTGCGTTTCGTGTATTCTCTTGTTGGGAGCTTTGTTCTCCTGTTGGGAGCATTTTTTAGCGTGTGCGTTGTGGTAGGTAGGTTCTAGGCTACACCTTGTTGTAGTTCTCCCTGTTAGATTCAGCTGTGTAGTTGTGTATTCGACCGTGTGGCTGTTGTATTCGGTTGTATAGCTGGGCTTTAGTCTTTGTGTTTGTTAATAAAATCTATCGTTTGGAAAAAAAAATCTCTACTTAAATGTTCCTCCTTTGACTATCATAACTTCCCTTCGATTTCCAAGGTACATTAGTGAAGGTGATTTGAACGAGAGCCTCATTGTTAATACTTTTCCTCCATTTATTGCTGAAATCATGCAAATTAATCTTCCAAGACCCCCCTACAAGGACGGTTGTTATTGGTGCTCTGATGGCAAAGAGAATTATTCAGTAATTAAATAGTCAAAGAGGACTATAAAGTTGAAACGGGTTTCTAAGCCCTCCCCGCAAGTCAATCTGCAATTAGACGTTGGAAGTGGTTGAAATTCTTATGGGCCCTGAATATCCTTTTAAAGGTTAGAACCTTTTGGTGTCGTTTAGCAAATGACTTTATTCCCACAGCTATAAACTTAGCTAAACATCATGTCCCATCGTCAAGTGGTTGTAAGCTTCGCAACTCTTATTATGATACATTCCTACATTCCATTTTTTTTATTCCCGAATGGTGCCACTGTGAAAAATACTATCTTTTCCTCTCGTTAAAAAGGCAAAATTTGGCTGTACTTTGGACTTGTGTATTTGGATGCAACTAAGCCTAACAACTCATGAATTTGAAATTTTTGCTCTTTCAACTTGGTTAACTTGGAAAAAAGGACAAAGGGTTATCCATGGTCCCAATTTCAATGAGTGTCTCAAGTTTGTGGCTAGACTTGAAAGCATAGTTTGAAACTTCAAACCCTCCAACGACTCTTGGAATATTCACCAATGCTCAGAAGACCATCAAATAATTCACAAATGGTACCCTCCCCCGAAAACGTCGTCTTGATGTGGATGCAAGTGTCAACATGAAAGCTGGCAGATTCGGTGTAAAGCGAATCACTCGTGATGATTAAGGTAGAGCTCTTTTTGCCTTTGGAATGCTAGTCAGTAATTCGGGTTAAGTTATCCATTGTGAGCTCTCGCAATTAAAGAAGGTTTGGAGAAAATATTGCTCGTTGCACCAAGTTCCTCTCTTTATTTATACGGACTCTTTGTTGGAAGTACAAGCATTTACCGACTTCAACGAGACACATGGCTTTATTCGATCTTGGTCTAAAGATATTGATGTTCTTATGTTTCAAGCAGCAACATATGCGTCCCTCGAC